TGCTTTTTTACAGTACTACGGCTTCCACAGATGACATTTTTTAATGGATTTTTTGTCAAAGCACTTCAGATATTCATTGCTATCGGGATGTTAAGAGCATTCCATGGAATATAACAAAAAGTGTATCTCGAGCTGGTTTCTCAAACTTACCTACCCCACCTTTAAGTTAATGAAATATTTCACTCTATAAATGTTATCAAAGAAATACAGACACTCATTTAGGTTGAAAGTCCTTTTGGGAACACTGGTTCAATGAGGATAAACCTTCAATGTAGACAAGCATATAATATTAACAATAAGAAAGAAAGAAGACAAAATCATTAAACATGTTTCAGGCAAATAATGTCAAATATCAGCTGTTAAAACATGAACATTTGTAGATGTATTCTGTTTGCAGGGAGCATGTGAGCCTTAAAAGACTTCAGCAGAAATAAGAACAAAAGCAGGAGGCTCAACTTATTTGCCCTGGCATTATGCAGAACTACTGGGTCAGATGTGATTGATTGACTCAGGCTTATCCTCTCAAGTGCTCTTATGAATCTCAAATATTGGTCGATTTCACGGATCCCCCGACTCTCCGGCTGCACGTCACGCTCCGCTTTATCTCTCTCTGTGGATTTGTGCTACTACAGGTCAAAAAACCTCAAGGAGCGGTTGATGAAATTTCATGAAATAACGACAAGGAGATGCTATACTGGGACACGTGGGAAAGTTGATGGGCCCCCCCCCTCCACCTCTCCGGTTAGCTCATACTGTGTCAGTGTGAGAGAGACCCCCCAGATGTCTCATTAGGTATATCATTAGAGAGACAGCTGGGAGGGGGTGCAGACAGCTGACACGGGGCTGCAGGGGCTGGATTAGCTGTGACTTTTTACAGGACTGGGGGAGATATTCACATCTCATGTCCAGAGTTTAGGGGTTTCATTTGATATCCCACAGAGGAAGAGCTGCCCGGAGCGTTCACGTAAAGTTGACCCCACCAATTAGTTTGCAAATGTAGCAGCTAAAAGATAGAATTTGGTTTGAATAGTCCTTTAAGTGTCAAATACTAGTTTTGAAATTCTTAAAACAATGCATTAAAGACTTTTGGAGGAGCTTTAGACTTCCATTGTTCATGCCAACAACTACACTATCTGTGTCAATGAAACCTTTAAATTCTGAATCTTTGAATGTTGGTTTTACATAATGGGCTTTGATGAGAAATCAAGAAAAGTCCATTTGGGTACCTTAAAGTATGTACTTTACTGGACTGTTGTACAGATAAACATACTCCAGGGCTCCACAAAAAGTAATGGTCCTCAAAATCATCATTATAATATATTCAGAAAGACCTGGGGAAGTATAAACCTTCCATTCATTGGACACAGGATAAACCAAATGGTATAACGCTGTGATAAATGAACAGGCAGGGTAGTTATTTGCAGTGGGTCGTGTTGATAGGGCTTTCTTAGAGGTTTCAATACTTTATACATTCATGTGCTCTGCATTGACTCATAGATCACTCATGGCTAAATTACAGGCTTGCTTATGCAGTCGATGTGGAAATTAATGACGTAGCAAACCACATTTTTTTTACTGTTGATTCCTTAAAGCGTAATATGGTTTTCACATTAGATCATGAAAAGTTGCTCCACTGCAACTCTGGCTGGAAACCACAGGGATAAAAGCTTTGATGTGCTTATGTTATATAGAGTGATATACTATAGGCAATATAGTGTCCCTAAATGTTTAATGTGTGGCAAGTTTTAATGTGTCAGTATTTCTCTGAATTAATCTGATAAAAAAGTAAGTTTATGCATACCTCTAAACAGTTTTTAAGGAAAGCTGACGTTTTTAAACATATAAAGGACACATAAAACATGGGTCCTCTCAAAAAAAGTAGTCCCTTGCTCTTTGGACCCCCATGAAAAATGCAAATCCCTAAGAAATAACCCAATAAAAGCAAAACAAGGCCACAGCACTTGATGAATAAGCCAATACAATAGATACAGAAAAGGGCCTAAACATGTAATATTTGTACGTTTAACACAGGACAGATCAAACATAATGCATTGCTCCAGAAAAAAAGTACCGCTTTGCTATTTGGAAACCAATAAAATAGAGAAATGATATTACTGTTGTGCCCTTGCATTCAGGATCCCAAAATGTCAATTACACACTTTATAAACATCCTGATTTTATATCTTTTAGGCCAGAACACTTCCAAAAAATGCCATCTTTTACTCACTTCACAGCTATGCCCTGAAGAAAACCCCCAGTGCAAATGTATGTGATGAACATGGGAGTGTGATAATTGTAAGAACAGCACTCGGGGGGGTGTGGGGGTCGGGGTTTACATTCTTGGGGTATTGCATTTTGCTGCACTTATGCTCCCTCAACAATGTCTTGCCTCATCGGGGCCACAATCCTCCGCGACCACAGGGC